AGATACCCACCTAATCACTTGGGTCTCCAGAATAGAGTGAGAAACAGACAAAGAATGGCCAGTGGAGTTTTGGTGCAGCCCCAAGAAAATACTGGTAAGAGTGAGAAGCAAAAGGCTGGCTTCCTTTCCTATGGGGTTACGGCCCAGCCAAACACTGAATGTTATTTCTTCCAGGCATTGTTTTCAAAAAGAGGCAGGTAAAAGTTGCAAATGTTGGCAGAAAAACTTCCCCTTTCTGCTCTATATCCACTTGTAACTTCAGCAACAAAAATTAAATAAAGAATTTATTCTGCCATTTTGAAAATGAAGAGGTTTTTTAATTTTTGTGTATTGATTTATGCTACAATATGGACACTTTGGACATTATAATTCCATTTCTCATGGAATTATTCATGGCATACCATGGAATTAGGATGCCAGTAGGTATCTACTTGTGCTCCTGGCCTCCTCTGACAGTGCCCCCCTCTTTCATTATTGACACTAATACAGATGTCCTCCATTTTCCCCCGTTGCCCCCTCCCTGGCCCCTGCCACCTCTGGCCTTCACCACGTTGTTGTCTGTGTCCATGGGCTATGCATATATGCATGTATGTTCTTTGGCTAATCTCTTCATCCCCTTTGAATGTATAGAATCAGACCATTCTTAAGTCCTGTCACACTCATCCTATTTCTCTGAGCTTCTCTATCCTGTGTAATGAATAGTCTTTTACCTCCTCCAATGGCTCAATGGCAGAATTCAACCCAATGAATCCTCCTTCTTCCCTTTCATGATTTTTCAGAAGCTCCCTATTCTTTCTACCTTTCTTACCTCCTTAATAGTCATTCACTATTTTCGCTCTCTCTCTTTTTTTACATTATTAACATGAAATGTGGAATGTGTACCACTATCTTTTGGGCTAAAAGGTTCAATACCTTAAGCCAAATATTAAAGAAGCTACACAGAGCAAACACATCACTTATCCACACTCTCTAAATAATACATGTTCAAATTCCATATATAGTTTCTTTTTTTTTTGTCTTCCTCAGAGACTATCTCTAAACTGCTCTCCCTCACACAAAATGACAGCCACACCTCAGAAGCACAGTGGTCAAAGCTCTCCTCATACTGACTTGCAGACAGTGAAACTGACAGGTGGGACCGCCCCCCCCACCCCCGCAAAATATCAGGAAAAAAACATCATTAAATAGAGTGTTAAGAAATAGCTGTTTGATTTAACAGCAATTCATCTTTATTGAATAAACATTTTCCAGTATGCATTCTGTTAATTGACCCGGCAGCATATGCTGTATATGGGAAAACTCCTAAACATTATGCTCTATGTAATATGCTTATCTGACAACGCTCTCATTTGCAGCAATATGGAAATAAAATTCTGCTTTCTAAAATTCAAGACTTTTAAAACGCATTAATCCACACAGTTTATGAAATTGCTCTGGACATTTTAAAATCCTTTCTTTAAGAAAAAAAAAACTGTAGAGATAGGTAATAGTATTTGTTGCTGAGCTTCATAATGGAGGAATGCATATCCAATAGAGAACTTTTACAGACCCAGAAATGGGGCAGGCATAATAGGAAATCAAAAGTCATATTGTACTGGGTAAAGAATTACTCAATGGCTAAAAGAAAATGTTCAGAAACTCTATCAAATTATATTATTAGAGAACTATTGTTATAATAGTTTTATGGCCCAGATATAAGTAGAGTTGAAACATTACAGAGACAATACATTTAGTTGAAGGAAGGCAGGCAGTCTGTGAGTGTGTTGGGCTCCTCCAGCTAATGGCAGCACCTCTCCTTGGCTGATAACTTTTGAGTGATGATGGCATCTCCCAGACCACAATCACCAACTGCACTGCCTGTAGGGCACCAACAGGTGAGGCTGCTGGGTGGGAACTAAGGCCACCTGGAGGGCTGCAGGCTCCCTGACTTAAGTAGCAATTCATCTTCCAACAATTGCTGCCCTTGTGAAAATACCAGCTCAGGTTAAGCAGATCTGATTTTTTTTAAAGAGAAAATGGAAAAGCCAGATTTCTCCCATTTTCTAGTTGTCAAGTATGTAATTTTTTAGAAAACAATTCTATTTGGACACAATTTAGTCAATGTGCAAACCAAACCCACAGAGAAGTCATGCACTCCATGGAGAATCTTTGTGAAAGCTCTCCATCTTTAAGGGCACTTGCTATCACTTGTAATTATCTTTGATAATATGGATCAAACACTAAAAGACTTGAATTTATTTATTTTAAATCCTGGCACTAGGTAAAAGTTCTCCCTGTATCAGGAATGATTGCAGTGGTGCAACTGGAAAATCCTACACCATTCAGTTTCACAGAGAGCATAATTAACTCATTTTTATACCAAGCCCTTTTAAGCCAGATCTTTTTGTTCCATGGACTTCTAACGTATTTTACAGTTCTAATTCTCTTCCACTGTCCTACATTAATCAAAGCTGTAACCCCTGTTGTCTTTGTACTACAGAATCAGAATGTGCCCCTGGCGAGGAATGGGGGAAAAGTCAACAGGAATTAAATTTCAGTGCAACTGTTTACTCAACTGTGGCCTGCAGTTATTGAAATTTTATCCGTGGTTTTGTGTGACTACTGCAGTAATGAATTCAGCATGGCTGTGATTTTCTCACTGCTGGTATTCTCACTTCAAGTAGAAACCTGTAGAATAAAAATGATGAAAACAAACCCAGTCCATCACACCGATGCTCCAAAATATTTAATTGTTGCAGTTTTCAGTGTGGAAGAAAACTCAAATAACTCTAATCCTGTGAAACTTTATGAATCCTGAAGTTTTTTTCTTATTTCATCTACAGATTTTCTTTTCCCCAAACAACCTGTTAAAAGCCTTATCATGCACTTAGCAGAGTGAAACAGCTGTCAGTATTTTATACTAAAAGACCAAAAAGGCCTGCCAGCCACAATATGTGAGGCTTTAGCCACAATGAGAGCTCCAACTGCTTTCTTTTTTCCTAAAACACACAAATGGCAAATAGAAACAGAATTGTTATAAAAATGTTAAAAAGGAGTTGTGAAGTAGAATAAAAAACTATTGACCTTTATTTGAAATATTTTCCAAAGTAGTCACAACCAAAATAAAAAGGGGAGATGTGAGTAACTAATTTTGCTATTGATGCTTTTAAGGAAGATGCTGTATAAATACACTTTTATAACTTGCTTCTGTGAGGTTAATTTGTCATTGCTGTTATGAGGTGTGCACATGTGTGTATGGTATATATGTAAAGTTTTTGGCTGACTTACTTCTTTGAGATAATGAATGATTTTAAGTTCTTCAAATAAAATTCAAAAGTAGCTAATGTTCCACTTAATTAATGTACTCCAAATACTAAATATTTGAGGTTCTTACCACATTGGTCAATAGGTATACCTCAGCTACTCCATAAAGAAGCAGTCGATCTTGGCCTCTCCATGGTAAAGGCATAGAAAATGGCACTTCAAAATACCAACCATTTATTCTCAATATAAACCATAAACATCTACAAACACCACATAAGCAAATATGTACAAATATATGGATACCCTTCTACCACTTAGTCATAGGTTTGGCTAACAATCTTATTGCTTAGAATTAGGTCATTTGGACTCATTTAAATGCACAAAGTTTACATTACAACAAACATCATACATTCCAGGTGCAGCACCAGTGAGATCTGGCTGCCAAGGCAAGAGATCAAGTCACTTAAAGTCTTCTGGATTAAGACTTTATCTTGTCTCTTAGTTTCCCTTTTCTTTCTCTGACAGGTTCTATTGTGTCCTGTGGGTTCTGCCAATTTCTAAAAGACCAACAATCTAATGAGTTCTTACATTGTAAAATTTTTTTTAGCAAGGAGAAAACAGAAAATGCTTTAGAGCCTGCCAAAGGCTACATCTCTAATATAAGAAGGAGTTCTCTTTGTTTCTCTGACGCAGATTCCAGGGAAATGTTTTGAGAGAAGGTTTGTCGCTCTCCTGTCAGTCCCCGACAGTTTCCGTTTCTTTCAGAAAGGCCCAAAGATGCATCATTCTTTTCTTGCCCTTTTCCAAGAGTCACCGTAACTATATATTGCACAATTGAATCAAGGATTAATATGGAACAAATACCATCCATTTTCATTAACAAGAACTAATAATATGTCTTGATTCCAAAAGAGGATGGAAAAACAACACCTGTGTTTAGGCAAATGCTATTTACTTATTTGAATTTTTGTCAACACTAGCTACACACCATTTTCTGAGTTACCATTTGAAAATATTTCACCTGTTACTCACAGGAACTCAGTTATGTGCCTACAAAAACAATACTACAGTAACAGGAATGAGTGTGTCCCAATTTATAGCATTTTGGGGATCCACCAAACAGACACAATATAAAGAATTTAGCTACATCTCAACAACCAAATATATGTAAGAAACATATGTAGATGTCTCCTACTGCTCAACTCCTACAGGTAGCAGATAGCAATTTCTTACATTGATGCCTGTGTTATTGCTGTTTTACCTGTTTTTACCTCATTCTGTCTGCATTTCTATTTTTTCTACTTTCATTCACCTAATCTTTTCTCTTTTATAAGTCCTTATTTTTTTTTATCTCTTATCCTTTATTTTGAATTCCTTCTTCATAAGGCTTAACAATTCCGTTACCTGTTTTTGTTTTTGTTTTTTTAAATTAAAGCACTGTGTACTGCTTCCCCAAAGGTTAATTTTATCCCTAATAGTTGTTAAACTTTATGCTGACACATTTGGGGCTAGGGAGGGAGTGGTGAGGAGTCCTCTCAATCTCATTCTCAACAACCGTGCCCCAAGAGAGTTTCCGAGGGCTTGAGAGTTTGTTTCTTAAATCAGCTGTTAGGACCCCAGCACACTGGTGGCTGAAAAGATGCTGCTTACAGTCAGAGAGTGAGGTGAGCATAAAATATTCACAATGGTCAAGTGTCAAATGAGGCAGCGGAATAGGCCCCTACCACCCTCCACAGCCAGACTCCAGAACACAGTACCTGCTGCTGCTGCGCGTGAGCCAGATCGGCCGGCCCCACGTCCACGGCTGGTGCCTCCCCGTTGGACCGCCCTTCCCGAAGACTGCCACACTCTAGTAAGTGGCTGCTGCTGCTTGACCCATTCTGGATGGCTGACCCGTTACTTTTTGTCTCAGGCCCAGATTCTTGCATCATGACTCAAAAACCTGATAGAAGGGTTTTCAGGAGGGAGCGGAAAGAAAGAAAAAAGGAAGAAAGCAGCTGTTACAACAGTTGTTGTGCACAAGAAGAAGGGCCATGCTGTAAATGCTGCCAAAAGTCTGTAAACAGTTGTCATTTTCTTTCACTCCCTGTATCCCTCGTTTATGATCGGTCCCCTAGTTTTTGAGTACGGAATTGTCCGTCTAAATTCAAGTTCCAGTAGTACTGTTTCAAATAGGTTATCTTTTTCCCTTTAGAAAAAAATAAATATTTTCAGGTGAACCTAGAATTTACGGTTAAATTTCTGTGATCATATCTGGACATTCTGCTCAAAAAACCAGTAAGTCATTCTATACAGCATATTAGGTATATAATATTATGCTTTGGTGTGTGCAGACTCTGTGGAGTGATGTTATACTGTCAGGGAAATAGACTCAACTGAAGTCTACTAAGGAGATGACACACATGACTAGGAGGCCCCCAAGGTTACTTGTGTTGAAAACACTTACAGTCAAAAACCAAAATGCATTTTAAGCTTCATACTCCTGGGAGTCATTCAGATACTAAAATTCTTCAAAATTGGCCATTCCAATAAGATAGGCCACTTTTAGAGAGGAAAAAAGTCCCCACTTTTCAAAAGGTAAATTCAGACTCTGATCTTTGTCTTTTTTAAAAAAAAGATTTTATTTATTTATTTTTAGAGAGAGGGGAGAGGAAGAAGTGAGGGAGAGAAACATTAGTGTGTGGTTGCGTCTCATGCACTCCCTACTGGGAACCTGGCCTGCAACCTATGCATGTGACCTGACTGGGAATTGAACCGGCAACCCTTTGGTTCACAGGCTGGCACTCAATCCACCAAGCCACACCAGCCAGGGCTGATCTTTGTTGTATACTTAAAATTTGCCTGAGAAATCCCATTCCAAGTTATGTATTTCTCATGCTGAATTACTACTAGCCTTTGGTTTGGTTTAAGGCCTGAAAGTTCTGGGTCTTATATTTCTTCTGGAGAAAATCTAGCCTAGGCGTACCAAAGAAAAGCTCTGAATTTGAAAGTACTAAACATCTAATAAAATTGTATGTGTGTGTATATATGGTGCTATGTGTGTATGTATGTGTATCACCTGTGTAAATACATGTCACATTCCACCTTGTTCCTCTCTAGGTACAAAAATATTATCCCAGAGAGCCAACACAGCTCTCAGTAAAGGTGTCCAATTATGACATAAGACAGATAACATTTGCTCATGCGTACTGTTACCATCTATTGACCACCAGTGTGGTGCCAGGCCCTACTGCAGGTGATTTATAGATATTCTCCCGTTTAGTTCTGATGACAATGTCTACCCCTAGTTTGCAGATGAGAAAACTTGGCTCCAGGAGAGTTGTTCTGATTTGCCCAGCATGAATCACAGCTGGGAACGGTGGAGTCAGAACTGGAACAAGTCCTGCTTCATGTCAATTCTTAACCACGTATTCTCTTAAAGCTGAGATGCAGTAAGGACTAAACAATGAAATGGCAGGGCCCTACTCTAAGTTCATAGAGTAAGACTTCAAAAAGGAGATACAATAATCACTAAAGTGAGTTGACAATTCAAACATGAAAGCTGAGAAATCCCTGAATAGTTAAAACTTTAATATGAAAAACCAATCACAAATAAAAGGTCAGATATGAGGGGGTACCCCCCCCAAAAATTATCTTTTCGAGGGCGGGTCCCTTGCAGTACAGGCTTCCCCTGCTAGGTGAGTGTTCTAGGAACCCATCTCCATCTGTATCAGTGCACCAGCTGGCAATGTTGTGAGAGGCTGCATTCAGCTTCAGTGAATATTTTTTGAGGACTCAACACATTTGCCACTTCATTTTGAGTGATTTACTGAGCACACCTGCCCACACCGAGCTAATTGTTCAGCAGCTTTGACCAAAAAGGGCATGAACCTCACCCCCGGCCCTCGCCCTGTGCCCTCCCCTCCCCGGTTTACTGGATCTCATCCCAAGCAACTATTTTTTTGTTTGTCTCCCTGGATGAAAAAAGTCCTCAAAGGGAGATGTTTTGCCATTGTGGAAGAGGTGAAGCAAAAAATGGCAGAAGCACTAAAAGGCATCAAAATCTCTGAGTTCAAAAACTGTCTTGAGCAGTAGAAAAAAATCTCAATAGGCGTATTGCATCAAATGGAGAGTACTTTGGAGGTGACTGAAGTTTAAACATGTAAGAATAAACACATAATTTTTTTTATAAATAATGGGTTCTTGGGGGGTTTGCCCTCGTAAAATGGAAAGACATATGTACAACCAGCGCTACAGATTTCTCCCCCACACATGAAATATGTGAGAAGAGAGAAATTTAAACACTGGGGAAATTTTAGAGGAGGTTGCCTTCTTGTTAGAAATTGGCTTAGCTCTTTTCTTCTAGACATGCACAAAACCAAATGGAAGAATTAAAAGCAGAAAAATCCACATCTTTCTTCATTTCCTTTAAGTGCATAGTATGATCCAACTTGAGCACAGACTCCATAAATCCAGAAGACATATTTTTTAAAAGTTAATCTAATACTGAATGGGATTAGAACGGCATTTTTTGTTAACAGGTGGGAAACAAACTCAGAAGCAACAGCTGATGCACTCTCTTCTCTTAAGATCAGGCTTTCCAGTAATTATAGGCCTTTAAAAATTGCATTCTGAACCTTACTGTTGCAGAGTAAACAATCTATCAAAAAACATCCACAACTTTTTCTAAGATATAAGAACCAGGCAATGCAAGTATCTTGCTCATCACCAAAAAAGGGAATCAATTTGTGAAATCTAGGGATTTCTTTCCCCAAAGTTTCAGTTTCTGTGACACACACTTGCTTGTTAGTGCAGAAGCTAAGGAAAAGACAAGAGTGTAGGTATTTAAAGGGGAGGGCTGTTGTCTTAAGAGTAGTTAGCAAGGAAACCTATTGACCTAATTAGGATATGCAATAAACATACCTAAAGAAAAAAATAAAAACATTGTATCTAGATCTAGATCTAGATCTGCATCATCTATCTACATTTCCATCCTCTAGAAAACCTATCCATTTCAGGGACTGGATCTCCAAGAGGAAAAAACATTATATAGAAAATCTATACTTGCCCTCAGAATGGGTGTATTTAGCCAAACACCTTGACCTTTTGGAGCAGGGCTGCTTGCAAACCATGTGACTGTCGGGACACTACACCTGCAAACAGGGGTCTCAGAGACTGGCCCTGCTTGTTTCCTTGGTTTGACACTGTCGTGGTGGATTCAGGAAGAACAAGCTCCACTCCACAACTTGACAAGAAGGTTTTGCTCTATGCAGTTCCAAAGAAGGCTGCCAAGTCCTCTGGTACAAGTTTTGCAGGCATCAAGCCAAGCAGCTTGGCTTGCAAATCAGTTTGTGAGAGTGCAGGCTTTGGGACTAAAATTGCATAAAGGATTATTTCAGTCTAAGGGTGTCCTTAATTAGTCAAGTGCTAACAGTAGTATGTAGGTTGGAAGATTTAAAATTTCCCATAATCTCCCACATCAATCAAGAGAAAAAAGCTTTCTGAAAAGCACATGTGAAAAAGTAGGAGTGTCAATGTCTAAGAACATTTCTAGCAATACTTGGGGAGGCAGTATTTATTTCTATAGAATTCTCAAAGCCATTTAATAAGACTTTATATCTGTATCATGCTTCACAAACTACAAGCTCGTCTGATTACTTTTCAAACTCATAATACGTTGGTAAAAGGGAAAATAAGGAGGTGATGTGACTCCCAATTTATGCATAAAACAACTACAACTTAGGAGGTTGGGGGACAGATACAACCTTAATATTCCCTGTTTCAGAAATGAACCTGCCCATTCAATAAATGACAGAGAATTTCCAATTTGCAAAAGTCCTGTGCAAAGTCCAGTTAGTAAGCCAAGGAAAAGAAAACTAAGTAATCCCATTAAAGACAGTAATGAGGGTGACAGACAAAGAAAAGAATCTAAAATGCAAAGATGAAGTGTCAGCATTCTTTAGCAAACAACTGTATGGATCCCTTTCTATTGAGTTTTACAATTTTAGAGTCACCTGAAAGCAAGTCAATGTGTACAAGAGGCATCTGTGTTCTCGAACCTAGAACACTGCACCCTCTCTTAAAGGGAGCTTGTCCCTGGCATTCAGTTTGTATAATGTCTGCAATGAACCACTCTGCTCCATGTCAAACCGAGAACAAGAAAGGAAGGATGCAACAATCATCCCAAGGGCCTGAATATGAAGACACTGTACCTGGAAGGCACGGCTATCACAGGCTCACTAACAAGTCCTTTCTCCAGATACAAAGCCAAACCTTTCTCTGGCTTCCTGTATGGCTTCTCCAAATGAGGCTGGCCTGTTTGAATCATGTAGGACTCATCCAATAAAAGTACTTTATTGTATTTCTATTGAATGGATCATATCTGATCACCCTACAAAGGCTAATGCTACAATTGCATGGGTGTCAGAAAGCTTAGGAAGCCAAAATGGCCCACTTCTCATCTTGCTTGGAAACATTACAGAGCTTCTGGTTTCAAAAGCTGGATGTTTGTGCTGGAGGGCCTTATAGAAAAGGATAAGAACTGAATTTAGCATGCTTATTTATTGTCACTGCCAACAGAGCCGCTCTCCGGAAGAATTCTGGAAAATTCATAAAGTCCAGGCCAATATATTTATAGTAAATTAAGCAATGCTTTATTATTATGATTATTTCCTTGGTTACAGTGTTGATGATGAAATTTTAGGGAAAATAAAGCCCTTGTTATCATGCTTGTGAACGGTTTTAAGCTAACAGAAAGTTCAGTTCTGATTCCAGGGCAGTTAATTAAGGTTGACCAAGTCAGGCAGAAGTAAATTAACTTGGCTGATCAATTATTTATATGAAGCAGAATAAATGCCCTTAAAGAACTTGGTCTGTGCATAAAAGGATGTGTAAATTAAACTAAACATACTTTTGTAAAATATATTTCCACTTCTATGGGGAGAGGAGAAAAAAGTTAACAGC